CATCACTACCTAAAGCCCCACGTTTGCGAGAGCATTTCCAGTCGATGGTGTGTTATAATGCAGTTCTTCTTTACCCAACTATTGTGTTGCTCCTCTCGTCATGACCAACGTGATCATCTCAGAGAGGAAGCAGTAGGGTGGTTGTTGCGTGCTGTACCATCATCAGCATTGTTGACGGCTACTCCCGCCTTGAGTTGTTACATTCAAAGTGTTTTTTATGTTACTTCATACGCGAAGTTAACGATTTTCAGAGTTGGTTGGAAATGCTAACATGAAGTTTTAGTGTGATGATTTATTAGCTAGAGAATGATCTTTAGAAGAGGGTAGGTGGATAGTTCCGTTAGAGTACGGCAGTATGAAAATTGAATAGAAGTTGAAAATGAGCGAAGGGCCATTAAAGCGACAGTTTTCAAGATGACTATTCTATTCAATTTTCATACTGCCGTACTCTAACGGAACTATCCACCTACCCTCTTCTAAAGATCATTCTCTAGCTAATAAATCATCACACTAAAACTTCATGTTAGCATTTCCAACCAACTCTGAAAATCGTTAACTTCGCGTATGAAGTAACATAAAAAACACTTTGAATGATTGAGAGTCCTGTTTGTGAGGTGCTCTGTGGATTTTCATGTAGTACAAGCCAATCCTGGTCGATATGTATTGGATTCATTCTCTTACTCTTTAGTTTACTCTTTTATTAGTCATTTTTGGTCCTGAAAATGACCGATGGGTTGGAAGCTTGGAGGCTAGTTAAGAACAATGCTGTGAAAATTTTTCCACGATGTTTTGACATAGGACTACGTCTTTAATTTCTATACTGCGGGTCACATTAAAATATCAAAATTCGGACATGTAACGAAAAATCCCAATCACGGACGCAACGATAGAGCGCAAGTCGAACACATTGCACATGCTCACATGAGCGTACTTAATGGTCGGTTGACCGCTCACCATTTCACCAATGAAAGGAAGGGAGAAGAACGACGTATGAGTGGAACAGCACGCACCGCACCAATACGAAGACGACGAAGAAAGCACTCACATCGACCGGAAGAATGGCTTCCCGCAATAGGATGACAAGGTCACCGTCATACGGTCGGCATCGACTTGCACCTTTTGTAAAACAACCGGCCCTTTTCAGGGCCACTAAATCAAAAACGGGAAAAGTGAAGAATTAAATGATCAACATATTTGTTTCGTCCACTAGCGGTCCTACGTCGAGCTTCCGTTCGTGCCCCTAGGCACAGACCCTTCTACTTTTTGGAAATGATAGCAGTGCGGAAATGAAATATTTAGGGGAAATGAAAGTAATGTCGGCCTAAATGGCCCATACATAAATTCAGCAATCGACTAATTTTTCAATGGATACCAAAAATATCCATTAGTACCGTCCCAATGACGCGTTCATCTAGATAAAGTTGAAAATAGCAGATTTTTAGCGATGGGTCTTAGATCCATAGGCCAAAATTAGAGCCATTCCCCTAATAGGGAGAACAAATCAATCACAGAATATAAGCCTACTTTCGTTTATATTTTTTGATGCATATTTTAAGCCCCTTGTATTAAGAGAATTCGGCAAGGTTATTTTTTGGCATAATGCTCTTAATAGGAGGGGCTTGAAATTTACACCAAAAGGCATAAAGATCGGTACCGTCTGGCATGCTCAGTCCTTGGTATCAATATTCGGCGACTGTGTTAGGGAAACCACTTTTACGTGCACAAAACGAACGGAATTTTTGTTTTACTCAATAGATAATTAAAAAAACCAAATATTGATTGGAAGATTTTCTTGTTTAATTTTTTCCAATCGCGATCAATCATATAAATTCGAGTTTTTTTGCTTTTTCTAGCTTCCTGGAGAAAACCTTACGGAGTGTCTCTGGTTAATTGACATGGTCATGTGGTACTCGGTCATTACGAGAATAATTCTTTGTATGTATGGGGGGATGGGGGCAAGCAGACCATACGGGGCGATATGGGCTACCGTTCGTTAATACCTAATACCGTTCAATGAAAATTAACTCTAAAACAACAATAATTTATGGTGGTCCTTATAAGGACCGTTTTATCGTGATGGTTGACTAATGCTGAGCTATTAGGGTGTTCAACAAAGATGAGGCTGGTGAGCTGTATGTTATTTGAAGCAAGGGTCTGCGACTCACGAAGAAACTTATTTCGATCCATAACGGTTCGGCTTCTTCCTCCTCTTGCTCATGTGGGCTCTGCAGCTCGCTGCTTGCAGGCTGCCTTTCGTGGTGTACTGGAGAACAACGTTAACGCCACACGCTGAAAGCACTGCTGATGCTGCTGCTGCTGACACCGACGATCGGACACCACCACACACGGTGATTGAATGAGCACCGTTCAGTGAGACAGACTCTAATTCGATTTTTAAATCTGTGTTAGGGAATCCGCTGTTTGCAGGCAATCGGTGATAATTTTGATCACCATTGCAACACTTGCACATTTGCGTATTTTTCAATAGCAACCTAATGAAAATTAATCAATTATTCATTTTAACAGATTGCTAGATAAATTTCCAATCGATTGGCTTGTTAGGAATTAAAATCCCTCTGCTATTGACAGAGTTATATGTGGTCAAAACCTTACCTCTTTTCGTAATGCGGTCGATTTTGGTTTTTTTGATGTTGCCGAAAGACGTAATCCTACGTCAAAAAGGGTGGCTTATTTAACCCTTGAAAAAGGCCACAATAAACGGCTGAAACGCCAGGCAATGCATAACTGACCGTTTGGATTACCCTAGAATGAGAAAGCCATAGGAAAGGAATCTTACAGAGACAGTTATATTTTTCCAGGGTACTGAATTTATTTCTGCATTCGGTCCTCTAAATTTTCCAAACTTTTATTTACTTTGAAAATTCGCAAGGAACTCTGTACAATATTGTATTGAAATGTTCTTAAGAGTTTTCTTTTAATTCATCCTCCTTCACAGTGTTTTTTTATTTTTCTAATATATATTGAAGATTCTCTCTGGGAGTTCCTTTATCTCTATATAACAGTCTACACAACACTACAAGAAATGATGGAGTTCATTCTAAGATTTTCTTCAATTATTTCATGATTATTACAGGAGTTCACAGTTCACAGCTTCTAAGCTTCATTCAATAATTCTGGTTGAAACTCGCTTCTAGTCAACATACGCCTAAATAATAAATAAATAAATAAAGCTCATAGACATTTTTCTCTTACTTATGGCTATGTTCTTCTTTAAATTATTTAGAAAATTTTCATGGAATTCTCCTTAAAATAGTCTGGAAATTATTATTGAGATGACCTTGCAATGCAATTTAACATGGCGTATCTTACCACTCTAATTTTGCCTTGCAACATTATTTTAAGATTTTGTTTTCTCCTTAAAATATCAGCTATTAGGTGCCTAATTTTATTATAATCTCTGGTAGAAAGTAGTTCCAAAACTGCTCGACTATGCGACAAATTATCCTATGAGAACTCGTTTGGAAATGTCCACTCAAAATTCGATTCCTTTAATTATTTTTGTGGATCCTGAAATCCTGTTCACAATCATCATGGATTTTTTTTTACAGAACTTTTTAACAATTCTAGTTTAAACTCACTTTCTAAACTTCAAATTCTAGTTAAAACTCTCTTAGGGTTCTTCCCAAAACTCCCTTGGAAATTTTATCTGAACAATTTCTAGCATTCAATATGAAATTAGAAACACCCCTAGTTTGGACTCTTGGTGAGAATTCAAGGGATAGTAGGTAAAAGTTATAAGTAGAATTTCATAAATATTTGAAACTGAATTTCATAGAAAATTTTAGCAAAAATTTTGAAATTTCGACCAGAATTTAAGAAATAATTCTGCTTATAATTCCAAAGAAATTCTAATGAGTATGCCAAGAAATTTTTCAAAAACATTTAAAGCATCCTCACAGGAATTCCAAGGGATTTCTACAGGAATCTGCATTTGATGATTCCAAAGGATCATTTTTTATGTTTTATAATATCTTTAACACATTTAAGGTGATTCGAGACTTTCCAAAGAAATTCTAAAGTGAACTGAAGTGAAGAAGCCGCTGGGATTTTCTGTGGCATAAAGCCTCTGATCACGCCTTGTTTCGGAGAAGTTTTTGAGAAAACTCAATTTAAAATGTTTTAGTAGTTTTTATTTTCAGAGTACAAATACATTTTTTTTAATACTTTCCTACAAATTATCCTTTGACAACATTTTTGTAGGACTTATCAATTTTGCCTTTTATGATAGCAGCTTTTTCACATTTATCACATTTATGTCACTGTGAAGCAATTGAACAAGTAAAATCTGTAGATGTAGTTCTGTAGTTTGTTTTTCTGCAAAACTGATATGGATGTTTTGAAATATATATTAACATAACGATAAATCGTCTAGCTCAAACCTTTGAATGGGGTAAGTGGCAGGATCATCGCCATCATCAGCTAGATTTAAAAAGTTAAGAAAAGGGCGTCATTTTCATGGTTTGCCGAGAGCGTAACAAACTCTCATTACGCCTCTGTCTTCCCTTTACAAGGAATATAAATCTTTTGACATAGTTCATTTCTAGAAATCGTACCTATTTCAACAAATATGTAAAATCATAAGGGTCAAATTGCTTCCATTTAAAAAAAATCTTATTATTGATGCATTATTGTATGCAGTAGTGGTAAGTAGTGGCAGTAAATTAATTATGGTATACCACACCATTGCAAATACATCGATAAATGTATTTTTCCCATGATTTGTTTTCCGTGCTGAGCACCAATGCTACCGACGCCAGGGAGGTAGCTCCCACGCCTGGACCCTACCTATCAACCCATCAACGCATGAACTGGGGACCAACGGAGTTACTTCTCTTCCGAAGGAAGGCGTGATCAGTTCGATCGATTTAGTAAATGAAAGATTGGGATATCTTTGGGTTAATCTCTCCAATAAAGTAAAAAAAGAAAAAAAAAACATTAGCATTACTATTTATTCACTCAGAACTACCACCAGACACAGCTCAACTTCGCTTTAGCTTTGTCCCCTTTATCGAAAGTATTCTGCAGCAGAAAATATTCAGCAGCACCCCAAACACCATAACGCCTGCCATCGCAATACCTCCCACATCCAGCATCATATACTGAACCACCGAAAGATCGACTGCATTGGACTTCAAATGTTTCGCTCCCCTGTGGCGCATGACGTACTCCATCCAGTAGATCGATTCGTTCATCGGATCCGTCAGTCGATCGCAAAACACTACGGAAATTTCCCTTGCCTTCTTCGAATAGCTACTGTTCTGAACCATCTCCTCAATATTCGCCAGGAATGAATCCTCAGTGATATCCTTGAACAGCAGTTGCCGAGCGTAGCCACTTCGGACTCCTCGTGCTGCATTCCGTGGCTGATCGGCGAAAAACGGTATGAACAACGTAGGCACTCCGTGGTGCATCGATTCAAATGTCCCGAACAAACCACCATGTGAAATGAATAGAACTACATTCCCATGCGCCAGGATGTCATTCTGGGGAGCCCACTTGCGAATCATTACATTCTCTGGAACGTCAGTTAGGTCATCGGTTTCGAACTTCCAAATTACACGTTGTTTGAGTTTTCCAAAGACCTTCAGCAGAATGGATCGTTTCTCCGTGGGCATTTGAGAGCTTTGCAGATACGCTCCAAGAGAAAAGTAGACGACTCCATGATTGGCTCCATCCATAAACCGTTGTAGATCTTCCGATAGAGGTTTCGGTGGTTTGATGTGAGCACCGGCGATGTTCACAAGTCCAACCATAGACGGGCGTGGTTTGGCTAGTGTTGGATGACTGTTGACCAATATAGTTGAAATGGATTTTTCCAGTGATTGAATGGTGGGAAGGGGACCAAGATCGTTGAATATTTCCTTCGCCAGTTTATTCTGCTCTGGAAGATAGTGGAACTCTCGTCCGATGTAATCAAACGTTGAGAGAAGAGCATTGTACGATCGCTGGAAGACGTTCATCCGATCTTCGTAGTCTAGCAGCATGTGGGGAACGAAAGACCACGGGGTCAGTAGTCCCATCGCTCGGTCCATGTAGTCCGAATAACCTATGGTGCTGATGGTTACAATCGGTGCCTTGAACTTGTGGGCAAACATGAGCAAACTTTCCTGGAAGAATTGCTCGCTAACGATGAGATCGAAATGCAAATCTTGTCGTTGGATAAACTGTTGAACGTTTTTGTTCTCCAAAGCGTAGCGACTCGTTTCCAGTCCCAAACGCCAGTACAGAAACAAGTTTTTGAAATCATTCTGGTAGTCCTGCGAACTGTAAATGGCTGAAATCGGAACTGCGAAAAAAACTTATCATTCACAAATCGGAACTTTTTATCCTCACAAATTCTCACATTTCTCTAGAATCGGATAGCTCGGATCGATCAGCACTTCGGTGTAGTTATCGATCAGTTCGCCAAACTTGTAACTTGTGATAGCTGTAACTTCGTGTCCTCTTTGGGTCAACTCCCGTATAAAGTGCTTGAACATTAGCCAATGGCTCGAACCGGGAAATGGGATCAAGAATAGTACACTGTAACTACTGACCGTTGTTGTCATACCGAGTATAACGATCAGCAGCAGACCAACGAAGGCCTTCGAACTCATCTTCGACAAGGTACGGACTCAACTGATGATGGATTGAAATAAAATTGAAATTTGTGAGTCGACCGACAGGACAGTGAACCGTTATCAGTAGGACAATAAAACGTTACGAGGACTGTGTGGCATCGAGGGGCATAGGTTTTTTTTTTCGGAAACCTGTTATCGCATGATTCGCATTCATTTGGGAATATTTAAATGATTGCAACAATGTTGCTGTGGTACTCTAAGAAATAAGACCTTACTGCAGTTAACGTTTAAATACTTACTTATTTATTTATTTACTTCACGTCCAAATGAATAGTAGTCGGACGCAAAGATAAACAATTTCCTTTTAACAATTAAATTATCCTCAGAGCAACATTGTTTCAATACCAAAATGAATCAATTCATAGTCGCAGGAGATTTACACTCCCAATAATAAAATTAGGGTCACCCTTCAAAAAACATGTACCGTAAGGCACTGAATATCTGACAGTCTTTTAATCCGGACGTTGCATTTTTAATTAAATATGACACCCACTTGGCAACATAATAATTATGTTAGATGAACATGGACGATCGAATAGGATCCTAATAAAATTGTCGTGGCATTAGAATAGTATTTGCAATGAAAGCGGTAGGAGAACTCCATCGAGATACGTTTGGGAAAGATTGGTTGAGAAATAAAGAATATGCTCTAAATCAATCAAATTATTTTTGAAGACGATCAAAAGTGTGGGGTCACCTCACAGTATGGTTTGTCACTGTTGTAATTTTACTTGGAATTTCAGTATAAATTAATGGAATCATATCATTAATCACAAAGCAGCGAATTAAGATCAATTCATTGTCTTTCAAATAATGCAAAGCCAGTTTTCAATCGGCTGTTGACAGAAGCAGGCCACTCTCGATGTGTGCCACGCGATGGGCTGTTTACTCGACAGCAACCATTGTGTGGTCCTCTTCATTGTTCTTCATCAGCAGTTATTTCGGTCGATGCATCGTCGATTTAGGAAATCAATCGTTTAGTGATGTGTGTGTGAGTGCTGATCACGTTTTGTGTCCATTTCTGTAATGGAAGCACTTTGCTTCTCGTTGGCGATACTGCCATACAATGGAATTACTGGAAGCGGATCCTGTTCTGATGGAGGAGGCTTATTGGATAGCGAAAGATAAAGCGTTTATTGTGTTGTACCTTTTCACTATAGTTTCAAGATGTATTGTATAGTGAACAAGAATCCTCGGCTCTGCAAAGCTAATTCGATTGAGCCTTATCAAATAAATTAATGAACAAAAAAAACTGCAAAGAGATTTTAAAATTGGGGACTCCCTTAGTCAGTAAAGGCGCAGCTACAAAGTAAGACCATACTGAAGGTGGCTGGGTTCGATTCCCAATTTTTGGGCATAGAGTATGACTGCACTTGCCACACAACAATACTAATGCAAAAATGGTACAGCCATCGAAAGCTCTCAATTAATCATGTTACCATGCTTTTGCGTTAATTTCCTTCAGATGTGACTGCTGTTTTTAATGGTGACATCTATCAGAAATTACCCATACACTTAGTTCCTGAACCCAAGTAACAATTTTGGTTTTATGAGGGTTTTGTAGACCATGATTTAGACTTGTAGAATGCCATAAAACCGCGATAAAACCTGCAATGTTACTTGGGTATGGTGTCTCTATATATTCAGTTGGATTAAAATCCGAAGTCCCTCCTTTTTACATATTCTGCACAAAAAATACTTTCTAAGTCCCGCCCCTGGCAGGATTTCCCGCCGGCGTTTTTCTATGAATAGGGTGGGGCAGAAGGTATATTTTATGTAGAATAAGTAAAAACAGTGGGACTTCGAACTAATCGAAATGCATAAATAGAGGTACCAAACATGTTTTGTAGTGATAGATACTCTATTTTGTAGTCTGTGAGAGGGAAATCACAAAGACAGCGTCGTCAATATACATGGCATGTTGATAGATTGAGCTCGTGAGAGTGAATTTTCTCTCAAATTATTTTTTTCAGTTCTTTAGGGGACTGGTCATAAAGGTGGTAAAACTGTATGGAGAAAAATAATTTTTATTTAATTTTAGCTTGTTTAACAATAATTTCCGGAAACCGGGACAAAGCCCATGAATGATTTCTTTAGGCTGTCGTTCACTTTTTTAACCTGAATGTTATAAGAGGAACACTGAACCGTATGGCTTCTAAAACAAGTCTAGCTTGAATATCTGATCAAAAATGCATCGAAACTATACGATTGGGCTCAGATCGGAAACGAGGAACAGCTAACTCAAGAAAGCGGTGCCGGTGATGTAGTGGTAAGCGTGATTACCTCTCACCCCAGCAGGTCTGGGTTCAATCCCAGTAGGCGCCGCCGGGATGTCCTGAGACATAACATCTCTGATCACGCCTTCCCCTTTGGAAGGGAAGTAAAGCCATTGGTCCCCGGTTCATAAGTTGATAGGTCGATAAATAGGGTCCAAGTGTGGGAGCTGCCTCCCTGGCGTCGGTAGCATTGGTGCTCAACACGGAAAACAAATCAAGGAAAAAATAAAACTAACTAAAGTTTTCTTTTGTTATGCAACGGCAGCCCTAAGTATGCACCTTTAGAATTGATAAAATCGATCCATAAAATATTCAAAAACGTTCCATTAAAAACATTCAAATGATCCATAAAACATCGGAGAAAATCCCTTAAAAAGTGTGGATGATCCATAAAAAATATCAATATTATCAATATTTTATGTAAAATTTAGCAATAAAATTGTAAAAATGTACCACTAAATTTCTAAATAATGAGCATTAACATTGTACGAATTACCCATAAACATATTGCAATTGATCCATAAAACATTCAGGAATGAACCTTAAACTAAAGGAAGTGATCCATAAAAAATCAAGATTGTACACTTAAAAATATTGGCATAAATTAGACGTAAATTATTCATGTTTAGGACACTATTTTTTTTTTAATTTTGATCCATAAGCCTTAAAAAATTGCTCTACTGCATATCTACTTAGATTTATTGTTCTGCCCGTGTATTTTAGGTAAAGGTACGAAGTGACGGGCAAGCGTCTAGAATTAGCTTTCAAAAGAAGATTCTATAATAATATTCTTAAGAAGCTTCCTATGGAAGTTTAATTTAGGAACTTCTTTAAGAAGTTTATTCTAGACGCTCGCCCATCGTTCCGCTCTTCTGACAAAAAAAAAACAGGGGCAAAACAGTACAGTACTATAATTTTAACACACCATAATAGGAACGTCTTCCAATAATTGGAACGCCTACACTAGGTATGATCCATAAAATTAACATTTATTTTTCTTATTTTCTTAGGAAAATTATTATAGAAGCTTCTTTTGGAAGCTGATTCTACACGCTTGACCATCACTCTGCACCTCTACCTAAAAACACGGCAAGACAGTAAATCTAAGTAGTTACGCAGTAATTGAGTAATTTTTCATGTCTTATGTATCAAAATTAATAATATAGTGTCCGAAACGTGAATAATATACGTCTAATTAATCTGTTCGGAATATCTTCAAGCCCAGCAACAACCTTGTGGGAGATTCGGAGAGCTATGGTACGGGTCGCTGTCAGAAATGACAGACGTCAGGTTTGTTTCAACGGAACTTTGAGTTTAGCTGTGGTGCCAGATAAACAGATATGTCTGTATTTATACAAATTTTTGAAGTCTCGTACAGACCCAATAAAGACTACTTTTTTGACTTTGTTTAAAGCAGCATGTAAGACTAAATAATAACATCTGTTCGGTAAGTTCTGATCGTTTCTCATTTACTATTATTTAAAACAATAGATTTGATTTTTTTTAAAGCTTTACCCCCATGTTACTTTTCTAAGTTTTTACTTTATTCCGATGGTTCGTTACATGGATCTTGAATGAGATATTTATCTTTTTAAATCTCGTGATTTTCAACAGCAAAATGCTTTTTAAGTTTTGACTTCGTATTTTTTGTATTAGGAATAAAAACTAAAACACATAACCGCACTTTTTAAGTACAAAAATACTTATTTATTCAGTTTAGTGTGTGGCGAGCAATTTAATAGCCAAAATACATGGTGGAAATATGTAATCAGAAATGAGGCGATTTTTCTAGTGTACAGATGAATACAGACATATTTTTTGACACTCATACAGACTTTTGAAAAAATCATCTGACATCCCAGGGTCGGAGTAAGACCGAAAAAAAGAGGAAAAGAAGATACAATTCCAAACCATCTAGCACACGTTTTACTGCTACATTAAGTTAATTGCCTAAATTTGTAACAATACCTATCGTTTAATTAAACTGTAGTGATTTGTAGTGAACTAGCTACTGAAGTACGTTAGTTGGAGGTGAAATTCGTGAAAGTATTGAATTTAATAACCATATATTTGCTTAATCTAGATTTATGATAATCTACCATTTGATCCTAAAATCTGGTAACCTACAATTTGTTCCTAAACGCTATATACATGATTAACCTTAAGTAACTAGTAAGTAGCTCATTCTACATCGTTGGCGTGCCTAACTAAAAAAATATTTGAATCCCTAAATCTTATATCTAGCAAAATCTTTGTTGAAAGAATGACGGAAGATAACTCTCGGTTTGAAAAATCTCTTGTTCGGCCGAGGGGGACGACTCTATCTACGATGCAGAGAAGATTGTGTTTTCCTCTGCGCGCTCGCTAAGTAGATAAAAGAAAGAAGATTGATGACGATTCTGAAGATTTCCTGCAAAAAGATGATGCGCGATGCAAGTAGATGCGACAAATAAAAGAAGATTTTTCGAAGATTGATTCGTTAGCGTGAGATTTGTTGAACATCTAAACTTGAGATTTAGATGTGTCGCCCCCTCGTGTTCGGCCTCCTATCGCTTTTCGTGTCTTCTTCCAGCGCTTTCTCCTTTGCGCTTTTCTACTGCTGCAACTGGTCTAGGGATTCCTCCAGGCTGACCTCATTGGTACATACTTTTCCAGATTCGGATCCTTTTGGCACCTTCAGCATATTTTTGCACTTCGAGCACGTCTACGGAACCTTCT